GGCCATTTTAATTTCATTGAAATCGCAGCAAATTTTTCTGCTAACTCGTAAACGGCTTGAGCTAGGTCAAAACAGACAGCGGATTTGGCTTCGCCTCGTTTCTAACACTCTATGACCACTGTTCGATTTATCCTGACTTGATATTTTACTATATGTAGCGATAATAAACATTAAACTTTGCACTTTTCCCAATCAATTTTGGCACGGTAGTGGTCAGCTGTGCTTCAGGTAGTCCGCTTTCAGTCTGCTCTACGTGCGGACCAGTCCGCGATCAGTCTGGTGAGGCGGGGATGCGCACCAAAAGCGGACTAGTTCCAGCCGGACTAGTCCGGCAAATAGGTCGTTTTTTGGTCGATCTGGCTTTTTTCGCGGACTAGTCCGCTCGCTTTTGCGGACTGATGACCAGGGTGGCCACCTCCCGGTACCTCTCAAAATTCCCGGCTTATTCCCGGTTTTTTCCCGGCCGAAAACAGGGCTTTTCAAGTGTTATTGTTTAAAAATACCCATTCTTAATAAAGAATAAATACGGCAGTTCAAACGCTTGAATCTCTTCACACGCACCGAAAAAAACGAACTAACTTTTGAGTGCACACCGGAATTTTTGAACCTGATGTACAGCTGAACTCAGTTAACTTCAGGGATTTGCTGTGAATTCACGAAATTTTATCTATACATCAGAGTAAAAATTTACTTCAGGAACAAAAGAAAGCAAAGGAAACATTCGCGAGCGGAGCGAGCGCGAAATTTGTTGTGATTCCATAGTTTAAGCCACTACTAGGCGTTTTACACCACTCAGGGAGCGTTTTTACCCTGTATTATATATTCCTCTTTAAGGATTTGAAGCGCAAGATTATTTTCACACCCTTTGTTTTCTGCGAGTAACAGAGAAGTATTGCGAGCGAAGCGAGCGAAATTTTTCTTTTGAAGGGAGGAATGGGCACCAAAACGCGTCTGAAAGGGCGTTAAAACACGCCTTGGATCTATCAAAGTAGCTCGCTCTCAGTCGTCGGCAAGCGGCCACAGCTTCTACTGCCAAAGTACAATATTTTCCCGGTTGCCGGCCAAATTCCCGGCTTATTCCCGGTTTTTTCACGGCGCTGAAAATTCCCGGCTAATTCCCGGATTCCCGGAATTTCCCGGTGAGTGGCCACCCTGGATGACGGACTGTCCAGCCGGACTCTTTGCGGACCGAAAACGGACTGATGCCGGACTAAACTTTTTCGTACGGGTTACCAAGTGTGGTTGCGCTAGTCGATCGCGCTGGGTAGAATTTTCCTGCGGGATGACCAAGTCAGCACCGTCTTTACTCTCGTTGAGCATGTTCACACATTGAAAACGCAATAGTGTGAATGTCGCACACTTCTCGTTGTATGAATGCCCAATCGTACACTAAAAGGAGTAAAGGTGTGAATTTTCTACTTAAATTCACACACCTCTCCTCTTAGTAAGCGACATTAACACACTTGGATTTTTGGTGCAACTAAAATGCTGCGACCTGGTCTAGTATATGCCTTGAAGGGTAGTCCCCTAGTGTGGTAGGCAGGCAGGACCTTAGCAGCCGTGCCTCGCCCGCATTCCACCCCTGGGCTAATCTACGACCCTGGTAGGGGCCTGCAGGGGACCCCACAAGCGCCACCCGAGGACCCGGGGGTCTCCTCTACGGCAGGAGAGTGGAGAGTGGACAGCAGCGACGTGCCGGCTGGGCATATTATACATTGTGCGATGCAGAGCAAGACTTATTCGGGGCTAGAGTGAAACGTATTATTTGAAATCAAGATGGCTAAGAATAGCCACAAATATTTAACCCAACTTCTTACGAAGAAATGTTGCCCGGTGGTTACACTCCACACACCAGCATGATAGTTGACTTAAAGAAAATTAAAAAGTAAAAATAGGACCAAAAATACCGAATATTTGCAGAATAAAGAATTTGAACTTAAGATAGCATTAGAGCCAATACACATTTCCGCTACTTTAAGCCTAGTGAATGGTTTAAATCTAAAAGATCGTCGTGTGGAGTTACGAAGAGTTTTGGTTTTGTTAAAAAAGTTTGATGCACGCCAGAGCACATCTCGCGTAACAGGCTTCGCGGTGTCTCACGCAAGACTGATCCACTGCGACGTGACTGGCACACCTGTACCTCACCTCCTGCACAAACCAACTTGCACTTGGTGTACTATTTTGGTGAATTGCTGACCGTGAATTGGGCCCGTGGCCCGCAAATTTCACTTTTTAGGCGCGATTTCACGTACCAATAAACTATGTTTATGTGGAATTCCGGGCAGTTAATGTACACATTTACCGATTTGAGACCTAATCTACGCCTTTCATGCAATATGTTGTACGTTTTCCGCTTATTTTAGATTGTTGTCCTTTTGTTTTCCCTAAGGAATGAGGTAAAATTTGTAATTTTAATTCGCAGATGACGTTTTTCAACTTTTATTTCCTCAAACGGTTCAATGTTCTCGGCAATATTTCACAGCCATACCCACCCGGCTGGAGGAGGGCGCACAGAAGACGAAATGGACCTAAATGCGTCTCCGCCCCGCCTCGCCCCGCCCTCGCCCGGCAGTGCAACGACCCGACACCGACGATAATTAACATTAAAGCCCCGGGATGTGTGACAACAGCACCGGGGGCCCTCCTTCCATCCATCATATAAGGGAGGGAGTGTGGACGCGTCCGAAAGCGTCTTGGTCGCGGCGCCACGCGCGCGTTCGGAAACACACGAGCGCAGCGTAAGCAGCAGCAGCGGCGGCGCCAAACATATATAACAATGAGGGTTCATCAGTATTTTCAAAGCGTGCCCGTCGCCCCTCCACCTACCCACCCTTTCCCCGTTTCTCCCTCGCCATGGCGCCGTGCATGGCATGATTATATCAGGGCGTGGCGGAGCGCGGCGCAGGCCTCCCCGAAATACAACGGGCGCCACTTTTACAATGGCGGGCGTCCAATCCGGCCCTACTCCTCCTCCTCCCCCGCTCCGCTCGCCATGTCTGAAGCGCCATATATCCCTCCGAGGGCATTTGCTTGGCAGCTCCGGGCCCATGTTGTTATCTCAGCGGACAATAATTTATAATGTTTGATGTATTATTCTGAAGTCGACCCCCCTCCGCCCCCCTCTTCCCTTCCTTCCACCGGTGGTCGGCTCTGGTGTAGTATAGGCCGCGCGCTTGTGTGTGTGTGTGTGTGTGTGTGTGTGTGTGTTCGCTCCGGGGATTGAAGGGGTTGGGGCGGCGGAGGGGGCATCGTTTCGGTTGTCTGCTCATGCTACTGCCGAACACACACAAGGTTCTCCTATGGGACACACACGGACAGGGTCACCCACACAACGAAGTTGAACAGGTCCTGTTTACTTGGGAGAAGTCAAAATCAAACAAGGCAACCTGCTTCGTCATCGAAGTTCACTACAGAGGGTGTAGGTGAGATTCCTGTGATTATAAGACGTCGAGGTTCCTGCGTAGTTTCGCCTAAGAATTTTCTGACAAATTTTCTTACATTGTTCAAAACATAGTACGTTACAAAGAACCATGACGTCGCAGTTCCCCATCCCATATGAGTGAAAACCAGGGGGGAAAGAGGGCTTCATCTGGCTTCGCCATGTCTGTCCCAGCCACAATCGCAACCCTCCAGCCAGAGGCATAAATCACAGGGTTCTAACTTCAGTGACAGGGCAGGGCAGGATAAAAACGGGGGAAAGGGGGGTATGGCGGCAGGTTGCTGCCCTCGGGCCTTGCACTGCAGACAACGAAGCACGAGTACAATTAAAGTTGGGATGCAGAACAGGTCGTAGGCCATACCTTCACTGAAGGTAAGAACTCTTACGTACTCACGTGAGATGTTGCATAGAGCGACTTTGAGTTGTTACGTTTGATTCTTAGTACATATGTAACTTTAATATGTTAAATTTGAATATGTTAAATCGCAGGGAAATTGCTAAAATTCTCTGAAGTGCACACGGTAAAAGCCGCGACTAAAAAAAAACATTTATCTGTCACAGATTTTGTTGATGTTCTTTTTAGGCACGGACGGGGCGGCCTGGGGAGGCCTTTGTGGTCCAAATTACCCAGCCAGCCGGCAGGTCAGCCTTCCACGTGTGATGCTTTAACATCAGCAGCACCTGCTGCGCCACGCGGCACCTCTCTCTCTCTCTCTTTCGCAGACACACACGTTCACTCATGGGAGTGACGGGGCTCGCCGGCTCGGAAAGGAAAATGGCGGACACGCTTTTAAAGCACACACAGAATGGGCGGTACCGCGCATTAATTCACACACACACATACACAAGCACCGACGGAGAAGGGGTAGGAATGCGCCGTGAGCGGCCAGCACACACACGCCCACACACAAGCGCACGCCGTCGCTGGCACTCGCCGAATATAAAACACAAAGTACACAAAATACATACACACACGTGGCTCCAAAATAAACGAGAAATATTGTCCATCTGGTGCGTTGTTGTATTAATATTAGGCCGGACCACTCAGGCGCTCACAAGCATTACGGCAATAATACATGTCAGTCGTATTTCTAAATGGCCACGCCCGTGAGAGAGGCAGAGGGAGACAGAGAGGCAGATAGAGAGAAGGGGG